TTTTCCAATTCAGACACCCAAAATCCCTCACAATCAACTCAAAAATAGGTAAAAAAAAGTAAAAGTTTCCCAATTCAATAATATCCAAAATCTCTCATATTTAAACTGAGAATAGATTTAAAAAGTAAAATTCCTCAAACGTTTTCCAATTCAGACACCCAAAATCTCTCACAATCAACTCAAAAATAGGTAAAAAAAAGTAAAAGTTTCCCAATTCAATAATATCCAAAATCTCTCATATTTAAACTGAGAATAGATTTAAAAAGTAAAATTCCTCAAACGTTTCCCAATTCAAAGACACCCAAAGATAGACAAGAAAGAAGATAAAATACCTAACAAGTTCCCGAAATGCAAAAGGATTCCAACAAATCGCCCACTTCGCCATCTAATACGCAGAAAAGATACGAACGACTGTTCCTCCGCGTAACTCGGTGATACACAGGAGACGAATGAAAGGGCTAATCAAAGTTTAGTTGGCGGTAGTTGAAATTGTGAGCGGTTGAAAGGCACTAATCGGAAATCTCGCCTCACGATGGTTTCACAGCGTGTATATATCGCGGACTTACAAATTAGCCGGCTGTTGTGCAAACGTGAAAGTACTAATTGTTTTTCAGAAAGGCTTGATTGGCTTGGAAATGGCCCCCATTGTGTAGCCCGGGAACAATGGACGTCGCTGTTGAATCGCCTGCATTCCGCCGATATAATATGTAGAGAAGGTTTTAGAGGTGTCTGGCTATACGCAGAGGCTGACACGATTCACCTATTACGAACGACGAAACGGCCTCTCCTCGATAAATAATAAGGGCGTTCGCGTAGGAGTGGAAGAAAGAAGGACAGTAACGAGCGCGCGCCGGAGGATTTCCTCCGTTTTATCGTTAAGTAGTTTCCTGTGTTGCACGAATAACTCGTAAGATATCACGGCCGAGTATCTCCCTTTCAATCTCGTTCCCTCCACTACTTACCGAGTATATATTACAGTGCCTCTCTTTACCGGGAATTCACACGAAAAAATATACGAAACGTGTCGTAATACGCGATATTTCATCGATGACTCGTTTCTAAATTCCAGCAAATTCCATCGATACACTTCTCTGGGACCGTTGTTTCTTTCTGACTTTCATTCAGGTGGCAACTTTGGTCCTCGATAATTTCGCGATTAAACGGCGACAATCCGGTTGAAAATGATCGATCCAACGGGTGACCCGAATAAATTCCACCGAATAATACCGAAAAAAGCAATCTGTTTCCCTGTTGACGCGTTTCAATCCGCGAGACGAGAGCAGCCTCGACGGTTCTCTTTCGATCGAAGGTGAAGCGTAAACGTAAAGAAACCGCGGTGTAAATTAATTTCCCCTCGGTCTGGCACGAGTTCCACGCAGCTGTGTACCAAATACTTGATCGGTTTTCATTACTCCCGTCTGGATAATGCGCCGCCGTTAATGGCGTTCACCGCCGCTAACGAGGATAATTTCGGCGACTATTTGATTTCTCGTAATTCACTTCCGGCGCGACGTCGTCTCCCTCCGAAATTCCGTCGCGCAGTACCGTCGTAATTTTCTCCGGCCGGCTATGCGCTTCTCGCGTGGTTATCTGCCGTATTATCTAAACGCAAACGAACCGAATAATTGCATTCTTTAATTAGGCGAGAGATATCCTCGTTGTCCACGAGACAGAGAGAAACGGAACGAAACGGATACAATTTTTTTGCCCACGAAAATTCTCAGATGCATCGCGAAATTAACCCCTCGCATAAATTCCGCTAACGACCCGCTCCGATTATAACTGTACCTTTCTCTTCGTTTTTCACACCAAACAGAGCGAGGCATACGCTTTTCATCGAGTGAAACGTTGAATTTTCCAAAATCGAGAATGTAGAAAGCGCGACTCGTTTTGGAGGATCGTGCTTCGTGGCACGAGACTCGTGTAATTCAGGAATGTATACGAGAGGAAGAGATTTTGATAGCGAATTATAGTGCAGCGTTTACGATCGCGTTGAACAAACAGAGAAATCTCTTAAAGACTCGGTGTTAATGGCGAATTAGGGCCGAATGTTTTGTCGAGGATTTTCCGTCTTTGCTACGACAACGTTGGTTAAATCTCTTCGTCGAAGTTTGAACAAGCTTTTTGCAGACTTAACTTCGACAGACACGTCCTCCTCGTACCGTGAAATTTGTCAAATTTACACCGTTAAATTCTTCTCGGGTGTAATAGGAGAAAAAGAAGGAAGTATTTGTTTGCTACGAGAAATAAATCTCATTCACAATTCCAAACCCCCCGGTGGTTCTCTCTGTAAAATGGAAAGAGTTGGCCGTCGCAGTCGGTGCAGCAGTGATAGATGCAAAACAAGCACGATGAATCGATCGTCTGTTGGGTCATCGTTATCCAGCGACGCTATGCAAATTGCAGCCGGTTATTTTTCTCTGTTAGCGACGCGCCGGGAGATAAACGATATCGCGCTTTGTCCACTATGAACGGGGACAAATCTGCCCTCTCAATGGATACAGAGAGTCGTCCTGTCAGAGAACGCTGTCCTCCGTCGAGAACGCCGCATTCCACTGTTGCTCGAATTACGCCGAATCGTAATTACCTGAGCGCGACAGACAGCGACGGTTTGAACTGGCAAAAGGACACTGTTCGGAGATCGAATGAACCAAAGAAGCCTCTGGAAAATCGTGAGTAAACCGGAGCAGCTCGACATCCACCGGGATCTTGTTATTTAGAGAACTTGCACGATTCGCGCTACATTGAAATCGAAAATTTCCTACGTGTCAAATTCTATATACCGGGTGACCGAATTTTTTTCCATGGAAATTGATCAAACTTCGTCGGTATGTTCTATGGGTGTACGTAAGAAGAAAACGTTATGTGAACGTGGGTCGTTTGAAGCTTCGTTGAAGAGTAATAACGAAAATTAGAAGTACGAAGGGAATTATCTAATCTGCATCGTAATCACCTTATTTCGTATTATTGCTATCACTCTGTAATAAAGCTTATAGTTTATACAACACTTTTCTCTCACTCACACCCATAGAGCGTACCGACGAAAAATTAGGACACCCCGTGTACATAACCGTAAAAATAAAAGGGAGAAAAGGGGAACGGTGAATCATCGTCCATTGGTACGCCGAAAAATTCTACCAACCGGCGATACCATCGACCCGTTAATTCGTTCGGCGTATTCGTCGATACGAAATTACACGATGACTAATGCCCGTTGCCAGTTCGTAATAGAATATTGGTGAAAAATCAGGTGATCGAATTCGCTATCAACTCGTTGGCTCATATCCTGTTACAATAACTCGCGTCGACGCGATAAATTCCGCTACCCGTTTCGCCCTACCCAATAATACCGCGTTTCGCTCGCGAATTATAACGACGCCGGTATGAAATTTGGACGGTAGGTAAGCGCGATCGATTATCTTGCCAATTTACAATAACTCGAACCCGCCGGAATAAATTTCTCCTCTAGATTGGAGGAGGAGGGGAGGGAAGTTAGCGGTAAAGAGGCTTACTACGCGATGAGTTAAGCCGCGGCAGGTGAACGCGCCGCGAAAGGTCCGTTGGAGCGCGAGCGGAAGGGTTAACCACGGTGGAGTGAATTATCGCGGCGTCGTTAGGGGTGGCCTCCGTTGAAATATACGACCGTGGAGAAGGCGGGTGTATTTTTTTCGAACCCTCTTTATGTCACGTCGAGCGAATTAAAGCAGCGCGGCAAAAAGCGTTTTTGCGGAGGTCGCGCGCGAGGAATTTTAATTAAGCGGCCGCCGATGGAATTAATTACCGGTAGGTACGTACGATTCCAACCTCGGAGAATCCGTTGTGTTCAACGTGCAGAAATGGTTCGGGAGGAGGAGGAGGAATTAGGGAAGAAAAAGAACATACGGAAAATTGGCTGATTCATTTGATTCGAGGTGCCGAGGGAACACAAGTAACTTATCTGTGTGTCTGTGTGTGTTTTAGAGTGGATTATCGAATTCATAAGAAAATCTACTTGGATTCGTTGCCCGCGAGACGATGCTATCTCTTCTGAGTTAGCTGATCGTTTGAACCCGTGTCAACACTACTTAGGATAGGCGCCAGGATCTAGAATTCCAGAAGATCTTGTTCTTGGCAAGGGACTTAGGGTGTTCGTTCCTCGTATCGCCACTCTAGTTACCCCCTGACTAGTTTCTACGGTACCATTGCGTCGATAGGTGCTCGAGACGGATCTTTCCACGGGATAGAATGGTCGCGGTGAGTTACACGGATTTTTCTGTATCTATGGAGATACCGCGCGCAGATGAAACTGTTCCAAGAGACGCGTCTAATCGTTTAAACTTCATTTGCCGAGGATAACGTAGCTTTCCTTTAGGATTAACCCTCTAATACGAGGGAAATCTAATTTCCTTTAGAATTTATTCGAAGAATATCTTAGAAATCGTTCGAAAATCTCGAAGACCTCGCGCATGGATCTCCAGACTAGCTTCTACGTGAGAGATGATTAAAGAGCTCTCGAGCTCGGTGAAAAGTCTGCTGGAAACTTAAGAAATATGCCTAATTATATACTCGTGGTAACTTCGTTACTCTCCTCTATCAGCGGGAAACTAGCACGCGAAACAAAGTTCGTCTCGCTAAGTACGACTCAAAGAACCACTTTTTAACCCCCTCCCGAGCCGTACCTTCGTTCCTATCTATGACACGTAACTCGTACACCGTTCGAAACGTTGTCGATTAACAGCAAGTTTTGCAACAGTTACCAGTTTTTCCTCTTGCTTGCTCAAACAAAGAAATGGTTATCGCGATCAGGGATTAAAGGAACTTCTCTATATTGTCGCGGAACGTAAACAGTGACGCGGTTTTTCAGCGCGTATTGTGGGACAAGGAGTAAGCGCGATAAGGACACGGAATCGTGGCGATAGCGGCCGATAAAGCGATAACTTGGTTTCCACCGAAAATATATATAACAGGACGAAATCGTGAGATGGAGAAACTGAACACATTCGGCGACGATCGAAGAGAACATGGATCCGCTGCGTGGCGTTTTGCTGTTCGCTTTGGGGCTTCTACTGGTGAAATCGAGCCACTTTCAGCTGGTGGAGAAGGAATGGTGGGAAACCGCGTTGGTTTATCAAATCTGGCCGAGAGGATTCCAAGATAGCAACGGCGATGGCGAGGGAGATCTGAAGGGTACGTTATGAACCGGAAGTGGAGGAATCCACAGGTGTGTTTATGGTTTCTGTGAATACGGGGCTTGAAACAATTATCTAGTGTCGTGTGTGACGATCTTTCGGGAGGAAAGTGTATTTTATTTTCGTCCCAGATAATACACGACGGCTTAGAGTGTCCATTTTTGATCTGAACTGAACTTAATCTGGACATCTTGAAGGCGTACGAATCGGTGCATTCTTACGACAATAAAAATTACGTCTTTACCACATTTTTAAGGCGTCTCCAAAGTGCTTTGCATCGCCAGAGTGTCCATTTTTGATCTGAGCGACTTACGACCTGATCTGGACGTCTTGAGAATTGTAGTCATAAAAATTACGTCTTCGAGACGTTTCTAAATCCAGAGCATACTGCTTCGCATCGCCACGTTTCGAAGACATCTCGATTCGTAACTCTGGACGTCGTTCGGACGTCTTTTGGACATCTCTAAGCTCTCATTCGACGTCTCCTGGGTATCTGTGATGCAAATATATTACAACGATGTGAAAGTAGATTTGAAACATTTATTTTGGATTATAATTAGTGAATTGATAGTAGCTCGAAACTTGCTACTCAGGAGTACCTAATAATTAATTACGAGAAATACATATTTTACCATGTTTTCGACGGACGATTAATTCGAAGCTTAAAGCGTGTTGCATATACCGGGATCAAAGTTTAAATAGATATAGTTCGCCTGTGAAACTTGACGCCGTCGTAAATCTATTTTCGAAGCTATCGAGAGGGCGATATCGTAAACGTTGAATTCGTTGAGAATTAGCCACGCCACTCGGAGGGTTGCGTTACGACTGAGCTCGTTTATCACACGTTGGTCAAGGTACCAACCGAAGTTACTTCAGATTCTCCGTGCCGCGGCGATAATGCCGAATCGATACATTATCGTGTGATGAGAATAATTCTCTGATGCATTGGTCGGTCAAAAATGACGATCGATAGGTTTCACGACCGTACTTTCAGAGAACACGTGGGTAGAAGAAACAAGTCACGATTTATGAAGACAGTTGTACAAGCTGTGTACACAGTATACTGGAAATGTTTGAATTTTACGTCTCCTAGGAGAGTTGTTAATTGGCAGTCGATGAAATAGATGTTTAATTTCGCGCAGGTATAATCAACCGTCTCGATTATCTGCAAGATCTTGGAATCGACACGATTTGGCTAAATCCGGTTTACTCGTCACCACTGATTGATTCTGGATACGATATATCTAATTACGTTGATATAAATCCTCTGTTTGGAAATTTTGCGAATGAAATGTTTCAGATCTGAAAGTTATTTTGGACATAGTACCAAATCACTCCAGTGATCAACACAAATGGTTTCAATTGTCGAGTAAAAAAATTCCACCGTATAATAATTACTACGTCTGGGCAAGTGGATCTAGAGATAAAAAGGGCAACAGGATACCTCCTAATAACTGGGTAAATTGTGTACAACTGTCAGAACAGTTTTGAGGTGAAATACAAGCTAACGTTGTTTTTAATTTAGGTGAGCACCTACAGCAATGAAGAGGGATCTGCATGGACATGGCACAATACAAGACAACAATGGTATTACCATAAATTTCACAAATCCCAACCTGACCTCAATGTGAGAAATGAAAATGTGTTACAAGAATTACAGGTAGTGTATTTACATTATGATACAGGCACATTTTGTAATTCAATAAGAAATTAACATGTACTTAGAAACTTATTTTCATATCTCAGAATGTGTTCAACTTCTGGTTGATGAGAGATGTTGATGGTTTCCGAATTAGTGCTGTGTCGTATCTTTATGAAGATGAAGGTTTGAGGAACGAACCTAGTGTAGGAAATGGAACCTATACATCTGGATTACCAGAAAATACTGCTCTTGTTTATAAGTTTCGCTCATACATTGATCAGTGGGTGAAAACAAATAATTCTACATCAAAGTATGCATAGAGATATCAAACTTTGTTGGTACTTAATCTATAATATACAAATTGAGATAATGTAATTACTAATTCACAGACTATTGATTGCTGAAGCTTATGATTCTGATAAAGTGTTGATATCACTTTATGGCAATGATACAAATGAAGGAATTCCACCGTTTAATTTCCGTTTCATTACTTCTGTTCGAAACACAAGTACTGCTGAACACGTTAAAAATGTTCTGGAGGATTGGTTTAAAGAACTTCCAAACAATGCAAGCACAAACTGGGTGGTAAGAATGCCTACTCTGTAGCACTCAGTTTCTAATCTCTGTCTCGAGTTTAAAAGTATCAGAAACTATATTTATTTGTGTAATTTTAGCTTTCCAACCATGATAATTCAAGGGCAGCATCGAGAATCGGATTAAATCGCGTGGACGGCCTTCATATGTTAAGCCTATTATTACCTGGCCAAGCGTTCACTTATTATGGGGAAGAGATCGCAATGTTAGACAGAAAAATATCGTGGAATGAAACAATAGACCCCATGGGTTATACAAGAACAAAGGAAACATATGCAAATTATTCCAGAGACCCTGCAAGAACACCAATGC